ATTATCGCGATAATACTTTCAAGAACAATAGGAAAGGGAACGCGCGCAAGAGCTCAGATTGCCATTGGCAATCAGCAGACGGCGTCGCGTTTTCAAGCGCTCACTGAGAGCGGAGACGGATTCGTCGTACGACACAGTATGTGCCCGTCTTTTATCTATTGTTTTTTTTTTTTCTACATTTTATGTCAGACTGTGAAAAAATAAACATTACTGATCACTCGGACATTAGCTGTTACCTCGAAGAAGCACTACCTATTGGTGAGTATATTCCAAAAATTGCATCATCAACTTTACGAAATTTGAACTGGGCCCATAGGTATATTATCCACCAATATAGGCCCCACATTACACATGTAATCAATCTGTTTTATTCCATCCATTTCATTATATAAGTTATGGCTGGGTGTACTAAGGCATTGTAGACTATTGAAACTCGACGTTCGTCGTAATATGTTAAAAGTGTAATATTTTACAGTGAAAAATAATTGAATATAAGACTGTCTTTACACGTGCATATGAGCCATATTTTGCAACGAACTGATAAACTTCTCTTCCAAAGTTAAAAATGACGATATGCTATGTGTAATGCTGATGAAGAGCAAGCTTGATGGTATAGAATGAGGCACACTATCTCTTTGGCCGATTCATGGGGGCCCAGCCGGACGACCCCTCTCTCCTCTCTAATTTTTTTCAAACTTATTAAAATAAAATGGAGAAAAAAGAAAATTATATTCAAATTTAAGTCGGTGCCATAATCATAAATGGTCTTACCTCAGCCCCAACCATGGATGGGCCTTGAGGTGGACCAAGTCGAATGGCCGAGCCGCGGCAAAGGCAAGGACACCGCAACCTACAGCCATAATATCGGCGCTGGTTCGAACCATATCGGCGCTGGTTAATATCGCCTGTGGTTCTGGTGGTGGAACAAGTATTCTCGGATAAGGATTATACACCGTACCGTAGGCACAGTGTACACAATTGGCTCATGTGCACTTTAAATAACCCAACACGTCTTTCGAGACGAGTAGGGAGTTACCCCGGTGTACTGGTCCATAGTTCCTTTGAAGGATGCACCTACGTAAACGTATTGACCACCCCTTATCTGTGAAAGTCTTTTTTTCGAATTTCTGGATCTGCACATGGCTCTATGGTTCAGCGCACACATAATGACAGCCATAAAACCTCGAATAAGACTGGGGCTTCTTTTCAAACTGAATGCTGTAATTTTTGAAAATGCTATTTCCCAACTATGGAGTTTGGAATTCTGTTTTAATTTTTAACCATGGAAATAAATTAAAAGGATAGGCCATATTGATACGGATATGCTATCATAATAATCAAATGACGTCAATGTGAATGTACTTGCTGTCTCTTAAGACGTTAGAGATTATTTCTTTTGCAAACTAGAGAGGGAGGGCTTCTTTTTGAGATGGGCTTCTCGAGATATATAAGCAAATTGTGGCTTATTCGAGGCTTTACATTACACGCTACTCTGTAAAACTGTCTTACAGATTACGTTATACTAAAATTTGGTGGTATTACCAATGAAATCATTAACGTGACTGATGGTCCAGATGATGGATATAATTCTGCTTCTTATGTCAGAGGAAACGGAACCGATCTTGTCATTAAAGACATAATTGACGTAGATGGGGTAAATACCATTTTTTTTAAAATAAATTTTTTAATGAAATTGCTAATAATTTTTTTGTTTTTTGTTTTTTGTAATTGGATATTAAATAATTGAATAAATAATTAGTTGTTTTTTTGCCTTTATATGTAAAACCTATTTTTAATATTTATTACCTACTTTTTTAGTATCTTACTATGTATTCTGTTTGATTGTTTTTCGCTGGTGTCACACTTAACGTTGCCAAATGTTTCGGCAGACTGTCTAAATGAGAAGACTTTTTAGAAAAAAAAAATGATGGTATAATTAAGTATTTGAACGTTTTGACTTTCCAGCAATGACTCGCAAATTTCATCTCAGATTCTTAATGATTTCTTTAAAAAATGTTATTTGTACCATGGACGTATAAAATAAATATGGAGAAAGGATTAAGAAAATAAATCTTATATTTTTTTTTGTATTTTTCATCAATATTTTCCACAAAAGTTGTAATTGTTCTATTGTTTAACGTCAACAAAGTACCGTAATATACGTTGTATATAATATCATTTTTTATTTCATAATCTTGTTTTCCTTTATTTACTATTGTAAAAACAATTCTTATTCGATTTCAATTTACAGAGTACAGATTTAAGGGCAGATGATGTGTTGAAAGTTGAAGTCTTATGTTCAAAT